ACAAGCACTAAAATAGGAAGTTGTGGGGCAGCTTTCCCATTTCTTCTAGAAATTAAAACTCTAAAACTCTTCAGTCTATGTTTATTGAATGATATACAAGTATTTAAAGGCAAATACACTACTCAATCCTTTATTAAGGTCTAGATATTTCCTTATTACCCAAAGATAGCAATTTGTAAAGATAATAATTGTCATTTTGCTTTATTCTGGGCTCCAAACTGGGTCATTCTCAGAAATCCTTAGGCAATTTTCATATGTATATAAGAATTCCTTGGGATTTCTATTAAAATGCAAACTGTCTGCTGGCTTAGTGGTAGGGAGTTGTGCTGCTAACCCAAAGGCATGTGATTCAAAGCCACCATATGCCACACAGCAAAGAGATAGATGAATAACCTCCCTCTTCTCATGCAATTTAAAGCCTCTGAAAATTCACTGGAGAATCCAATATGAGTCATTTCTCACTGGCAGGCATATAATAACAACAACATGATTCGGCATATGAAAGGTGTAAATGCAAATTCTCAGAACAGCATCCAACCCTAAAAAAGGTTCAAAGCCCAACTTTTATTTCCAGGAAATGTTTGGACCAATATTCAATCAACCTATTATTTTAGCAGTTTCTGCATTTATGATGCTGAAAAATGAAAATTTCTCCTCAGAATGTAATTACTTTAATAAGAATGCTTGTTTCTTCACACAGAAAGTAATATGCTTTTATAAGATTCAATTGAGGAGATGACAGGCTGCTTTTCACAGCACTAGTGGGCTTGGGGGTGTATCCTTTTCTATTCCTACAAATGAGCTCTCTGATGTCTTAGTTGGTAAGGAGTCGTGCTGAAAACCCAAAGGTGTTTCAACAGGACTGGTTTTGAAAAAGACAAAGTTTGTAAACCACTGGTGTAATTGTACAGCCTCTGACACTCAGTTCTAAGTTGCTTCTGACTTGACAGCAGTGTAAGTTGTTTGTTGGGGTTTTTTAAACAACTGGTAATGATTTGGTGAAAACTTGCTTATGGTCAATGTTAATGCATTGACGATTTTCTAATAAACACACCACACACACACACACACACACACACACTGGTTGATTTTAAAAATAAAGGTTAAAAAATACACTAAAGCCTTAGCATAAATAGGTGTTCTCATTAAGTAGAGTTTTAGTGAGTGGTTTGTATGCCAATGACAATGCCATTAAGGAAAACTAACAAGAAGTAGTTAAATTGCAGATTTATGTGCTTAGAAATAACTACTCAGCACTCTCTATCTATAACTTGACTGCTGTAGAGCCAATTCTGACTCTTAGTACCTCTACACCTGGTTTCTGAGGCTATAAACTTTTTAAAGAGGTGACATTCATTGGATTGACTGGTGGATTTGAACTGTGGTCTATAGGTTAGTAGCCTGGTACTATATACACTATGTTACTAGGACTCTTTCTCTATACTAGAGGCATGTCATTAGTAAAGCAGAAGGTCAGAGAAAGAAGAAGAACCTCAATGGGGTGTGTTGACATGGTAACTGCAACAATGGATTAAGCCCAAGACAGCTTGTGAGTATGGCATGACATCAGGCAGAATTTCTTTGAACTGTGTATAAGGGCCACTATGAGTTGGAGCTAACTCAAGGCAGTGTCACTTAACAACTATATATCTGTGGAGTGGCATCCACTTCCTAAACAACATGCCTCTGGAAACTCTACGAACTTTGAGAATCGATGAGAGTTTCAGAAAGACTTCAGGCCTTCTTCATAGAGTTGCTATGAGTCATCCTCTACCTGATAGCAGTCAATAACAACAAGCAACAATTTTAGTCCATAGAGAATTGCACTGCTAACACAAAGGTAGTGCCTCTCTGGCAAAACAAATCCACCAGTGACTCCTTGAGGAAAGATAGACAATTTCCTTCTGTGCAATTTATAGTCTTGGAAAACTTGCTAGAAAATCAGCTCTATGAGTTGCTTTAGACTTGAAGGCATTGAGTTAGAGTTTATATAAATACATACACACACACACACGAAGATTGCTTGCTGTTAGAAGGGAACTTTGGTTACATAGTGGTAAGAAGCTGTGCTGCAATACTGAAGGTACTTGGATCAAATCCAGCAGCTGCTCCACAGAAGTAAGGATGGGCAATTTCCTCCTGTACAATTAGCTATCTCTCAAAATGTGCTGGAGGTTTAGTTAAGGGTCGGTTCCAACTTGACAGTACACAGCAGCAACATGTTTTAGGAGGTTCCCTTCCTTGTTAAGGAATATCATATTTAGAAAGCAGTCAGTAAAAAAGAGGAAGACCCTTACTGAAATAGATGGACACAGTGACTGTAACAATAGATTAAAGTACATCAGAGACATTCAGGACAGCATAGGATAGGACCGAATTCAGAGTTGTAGTTTGTAGGGTCGTTATAAGTAATACTTGACTAGATGACACCTAATAATAACAATATATGTGTGCATTTTTATTTACGTATATACACATATGACATATATATATAGTTGTTATTATGTATTGTCGAGTCAGAGCCATCTCTTATCTGATCCTTCAACAGGTTTGCAGAGGCAGTAAATCATACAAAAGGAGATTGCCCATATTTCTCCTATAGACTAGCTGGTGGATTTGAACTGTGTGTCTTTTCACTAAGCCTTATACAGATAATAGCTATTATATTGTTTATTATAGTTAATGAAAAATATATATATAAGTTGTGATGGAGAAGAGTATTGAATATACCATGGACTGCTAGGAGAACAAACAGTTTAATCCTAGAAAAGGTGCAACCAGGCTGCCCCTTGGAGGCAAGGCTTCTGACAGCATAACCAGTCCTTGGAGAGGGATGTCATGCTAGAGGACACTCGATGAGATGGATTAATTCAGTGCTGGGAGTAATGGGAGTAGGTGTATTAGAGACAATAAGATTAACACAGGGTAGAGCGGGGTTTAGGGCTGTTGCACATAGGGTCACTATGAATTGCAGGCCACTTGATGACACATAACAACACAACATATCATATATAAAATTCAGAAAAGCTAATAGTCTTAAGTATAGTTTTTAAGGTCAGACATTCCCTCTGATCTGATGATATTTCCTTCATTTTTCACACTTCCCCCTCATAAACTAATTCCCTTCCTACTTATCTCTTGCTTTTTTTTTAATCTCATCTTCCAATTCTTTCCCTTTGACATCCTTTGTTTCTCCTTTCTAACATCATCTTTTTTCTCAATTCTGTCAACATAATTTCAACCAAAAGCAGGTATTTCTAGGAGTCCAGGCCCCCTGAGAACATGATTTGTTTAGATTGGGCTTGGATTAAATTAAGTGTAATAGGAGAACAAACAGGGAACAAAGTGATTTCTTTAAACTCATTTGAGCAACACCTGACTGCTGTAATTGCATTGAGTTCATAGCTTCTTTTTCTAAGCACTGAAAACACAAATGCCAAGCACAGACTTCCTGGAAACCAAAGACATGGTTGTTTATTGAATTAGGTGCATTTACGTCAATTTCCAACCCTCCTGTACCACATGTGGTCTGTACATCCATCTGATTTGATCTTTGAACTTCTGTCTTAGAGCCCCTTTCAATCTGTAACACTGACACAGAAGAGCAAGCTGAGTAATATGTGCCAGTTTGGACCACAGTACCCTTGGCACTTCTTGATGCCAAATTCTCCTTCCTGTATCCTGGTGACACTGGTGAGGCTCTTCACTGACACAACTCTGACTCACATTTACTTCACTGTATCTCCCTCAAAAAGATAAATAAATGCTACTCCTGGCCTAGAGTAGATATGTGAAGGTAGATAGGACTTTGTCTCTCATACTCTCAGGATGCTGTTAAGAGGTGTGATTCTTTGATAAAAAGACATACTGCAGGGGGGAAATAGAGGGTCAGTGAAAGAAAGGAAGAATCTCATGAGATGGACTTGGAGAGGGACTGCAACAAGGATCTCAGGCATGACAGCGGACGGAGGAGGGTAATGCAAGGTTTTGAGCTAATGTTCACAGAGTGGCTATGCGTTTCAAATCTCTTTTAGGCACCTAGCAATAGCTCTAACCAAAACTATGCCTTTGCTGAAAAGAGGGATTATTTTGCTAACGGTAATCCAGGGACCTGAACTGAAGAGGACCGTGAAGAAACTCTCTAATAAGCAGTATCATGCAGGCAGCAGGGCAGTGACCGAAGGTTTGATGAGAATGCTGTGTGCTCCCTGTGGGTTTCTGGGCACTAGGAAAGAGGAGATGGTTCCCTCTGAGATGATGCCATGGATGTTGCCTGTGTACACACACACACACACACACACCCCTTTTCTGGAGGAAGAATATTAGGAAGAGCTTCTTTAATTTGTTTTTTGTGACAGATGTTTGATTGGGCTAGGGACTCTTAGTCAAACAAATTATAGTTATAAACACTTTTAGACTTTTTAAATTAATTTTTTTATATTAAATGCAAAGGCATGCTTGGAATAATTGGTACTTTTGGGGGGGTACATAAAACTGCACCAAAACCTCTCTCTCTCTCTCTCAGAAACACACACCTGTGTAATTTATGTTCAGAAGTTTCAAAAGGCATATTGACTAACAATCCCATTACCTGTGACTGCTTTTTAAAAACTCTAGGCTGTGTTATTTAAACCTAAAATAGATCCTCTCTCTTTTGAATTATTTCTTTATTTTAGTCCATCAAGTGTCCAAAATATTATGTTATCTTTTCTTTATATTATTTTTACAAAACGTTTATTTCATTTCTGCCATGATGTTGTTCACAGTGATGACTGGGCATCTTTTCTTTTTCTTTTTTTTTGCATGAAATCTAATTCACACATTTCATTTTCTTCTAAATGGCCTGGAGTTTATTTTCCAGTTTAGAGGATGGCACAGGCTGAGGAGAGTGAGGTTTCTACTCATGCACAGTGCAGTCTGGAAGGTACGGTTGTACTTACTGCCCTACAAGCCATGCGTCAGAACAGAAATCCAGTCCAAGCCCTGGCAGAGATACTCACCCTTTCCCGAGCACAATATGCCATCTGCTGACTCACAAGAACTCTTGCTCTGCTCTTCCGTCATGTTGCACTTCTGAGGATGCTGGCAGAGTGTCCCAAACCAGCCTTTCTCACAGATGCAGTGACCACAGGAGCATGAGCCGTGACCTAGGAAGTAACAAAGGGGTGGGGGGAGCAGGACGTGTGTGGGTGGGGAGGTGGAGGGGGGAGATGGGTGATTAACCAATAGAATCAGAAAGGTCTTGACAGTGATCTATAAACCACAGGATCTCATTTTCTACCAAACTGCCTTCCCTTTTATGCATAGTCAGTTTGGCATGTAACTGTTTAAAAGGGCTTCATGACACAGCTCTAGCTTCACACAAATCTGCAGGAATGTAGCAAAGGTGACAGATTAAAAAGGAGAATATCTGGGATAATTTAAAATAGAATCACAAGATCCTTCCTTAACAGCAAATACCTGCCATTTGCATTTTTATCATCATAGAGTCTTGGTGCTACGGTGTTATTCTTCACTGTGCACACTGTGACAGCCACACCAATTTGTATGGTGAGTCACGTCACAGTGGCTTCCAGTACTTATAGATTGTTCTGTTTCTTTTTAATAAAAATGAAGGGTTAACTTCAATACCAATGAAATAAAGTATATTAATCCACTCTTTACTCACTAATAAGGACAGATATATCTTTAAATAATGACGCCATTAATTTCCTTTTTTTTTATTTTTGTGTGAGTGTACCGTCAAATCAGATCTGACTGGTACAGGAGGAGATTGTCCCTCCTTTCCCGGCAGAGCATCTGGTGGATTCGAACCGTGAGCCTCTGGGATTGTAGTTGCAGCTCCTAGCCACTAGGCCACCAGAGCTCCCCTCATTTCTTGTATAAATCTTTAAAACAACATGAGGCACAGATTCATATTTGGCATAGTCCTGTTTTCTAGTTGTTTCTTACTTTGGCTCATAAATATATAGAGAGAGATATAGAGATATAGAGAGAGATGGAGAGATAGAGAGAGAGAGAGAGAGAGAGAGAGCGAGAGAGAGAGAAGAGAGAGTTAGATTGTGGTACATATATAATTGACATATGCACTGACTTCATCGTTTGCCACCAGCACACCATTAGATTACAGCACCTCCCATTTTATTGTCTTTTTTCCATCACCATTTTATTTCTTTAACTTATAAATAACTGCCTTCCAGTTAAATCTCTCAAGCTGGCTACATGTTGGCAAAGATTTATTGAGTTGTTACTATGAACAGAATTTTATTAGACTCTACCCATCCACCCAATTTCATCAACTCATGCTGACTCACAATGACTTTATAATACATGGTATAGCTGATGCATGGAGTTTTCAAGGCTGTAAATATTGATGGGAGCAGACTGCCTCATTTTCCTCAAAAAGAGAAGCTGATGGATTTGAACTGCCAATCTTTCAATTGGCAGCCCAATTTTTAACCCACTACTTGCCCTACACAAAATTCAAACAAGCTGCTGTTGAGTTGATTCCATCTCATAAAGTTCTTCCATCTGGTTTCTAAGGCTGTGAATCTTAATAGAAAGAGACTGCACATCTACCTTCTGAGGTAGATTAAACTTGTTCACCAGTGCAGACCTTTGGTTAGCAGTGCAACATGCTACAGAATACGCCATTATATCTAGGAGTAGAGACACATAAATAACTCATTCAACCAATCATTCTCTCTGAACCTACTGATACCTTACATCTTGAACATTTGCTTTGGCTGATCTTCAAGAATAAACCTTGTGTACCACCTCTTTCCTACATTCAGTTCCAAATGACTTGCAATTTATTGTTGTTGTTATGTGACATTGAGTTACCTGCTACTCATAGCAGCCCTATGTACAGCAGTATTAAATCCTACTCTATCCTGTGCCAGTCTCACTGTCTCAGACACAACTACCACCATTAGTCCAGTCACTGAATCAATCCATCATATCAAGGGTATTCCTCTCCTGTGCTGTCCTTCCACTCTCCCAAGCATGATGTTTCTATCCAAAGACTGGTCCTTTTTGCAACATGTCCAAAATATTATTTGGGAGGCTGGGCTTATTGAGGAGAAATGTGACATTAGGATCGGAAAAAGACTGATCAACAATCTGTATTATGCAGATGACACAATCCTGCTTGCTGAAACTGAGGAGGACCTGAAGTTCTTGCTACAGAAGGTCAAGTATTACAGTCTTCAATATGGCTTGAAGCTCAATATAAAGAAAACAAATATTCTCACCTCTAGGCCATTTGGCTGCATCATGATAGATGGTAAAGAAATAAATTCAGATTATTAAAAGCTTTAGTTTGCTTGGCTCTACAGTAAACAGTCTTGGCACCAGCAGCCAGGAAATTAAAAGATGAATATTGCATTGGAAAAGTCTGCAGTCAGAGAGACCTCTCCAAATTACTGACGAGCAATGATGTCAGTCTGGAGACTAAGGTGTGCCTAATAAAAGCCATGATCTTTGAAATTACTTGCTTTGCATCAGTGAGCTGGAAAATGACTAGGGAAAATAGAAGGATAATTGATGCCTTTGAGCTGTGGTGTTGGAGAAGAGTATTGAATATATCATGGACTGCTAAGAAAACAAACATGTTCATCCTGGAGAGTGCGAAACCAGGCTGCTCCTTGGAGGCAAGGATTCTGAAGCTTTGACTGCGTGTATTGTTAGGATTATTTAATTTTATAAGCTCTAATTGTGAATCCAGGTAAGTTCCATTACACGGGATCATTTGGAAATTTTAAAAAAGCAAATGGGAGACACATTCAGAGGAGAACTATATTCATTGATCTGTGTCCAACAGCTTCTTATGCATATTTTACTTAATTGCATTTCATATAGCCAAAGTCCATTGAATTAGGCATTATTCTTAATTTACAGTCAAGAAACTGAGATGCATATCAAATAATTTCTCCTTAACCACTCAACTCAGCTATACTGGATCAGACTTTGTTAGCTTTTTTCCAAAGTGTCATACTGTTTCTATCCTGTATATGAAAAATATAACTATCAATTTAAGACATTCAAAAAGTAAACCAAAACATAACATGAAAATAATTACTGTCTAGTTGATTTGAACTTACAGTGAATGACTATATAAGATAGAGTAGATCTGCTTCACAGAGTTTCTGAAAGACAAACACATTTCTCTTGAAGGAAGTTTAACTAGAGTGCTGCTAAGGGGCAAGGAGAGCGAGCTTTAACCCTCACTCACATTGGACACATTTTTAGGGGAAAGTCATCTGTGGAGAGCGATATGCTGGGAAATTTCGTTGTTATGTGCATCAGTTTGACTGAGATTCATACTGACCTTATAAATTAGGGTTTTGAAACTTGCCCTATCCCGTGCTATCTTCACTATCTCTGACACACTTGAAACCATTGGTAATAGTCACTGTTTCAATCTATCTTGTTGAGGGCATTCCTCTCTTAAACTGGCTATCCACCTTTCCAAGGATGATGTCTTTTTCCAAGGACTAGCACCTCCTTAAAACATGCTCAAAGGTTCGCAAAAAGAGGAAAATTGTCAATTAGATTTATAGACACAGTGACTACTATAGTGGGTTTGAAAATGACAGAGGTCATGAGCATGGTGCAGGAGAGATCAAGGTTCAAATCTAGTGTTCCTAGGGCCTCTGTGAGTCAATATGAATTGAAGCTTATCATCAAGAAAACAAGTACTCTTACCACTGGGCCAATAGGCAACATCATGATAGATGGAGAAGAGTTGGATTGTTAACAATTTCAGTTTGTTTACTTCCACTATCAACACTCTTGGCACTCAGGAAATCAAAAAACAAGTTGTATTGAGAAAAATCTGCTGTCAGGGACCTCTCCAGAGTATAGAAGAGCAAAGATGTCAATCTAGAGACTAGTGCCTGATCCAGGTCATGGTTTTCAGAATTTATTGTTATACATCAGAGAACTGAACAATTACTAAAGATAATAGACAAAGACTCGATGCTTTTAAGTTGTGGTGCCGGAGAAGGGTATTGGACATACCATGAACTTCTAAGAGAAAAACAAATCTGTCCTGAAGAAGGTGAAACCAAGCTGCCCTTTGGAGATAAGGATTTTGAAGCTCCTTTCTCACATTCTTTTGGCATGTTATCAAGAGGAACCAGTCCTTGGAGAAGGACGCTGAGCTTGGAAGTGTGAAGGGGCAGTGCAGGAGAGCAAGACCCTGGATGAGATGGATTGACTGAGTAGCTGGTATAGGTATGTAGGAGATGAGGAGATTGAATAAAAATAATGTTCAAAGCTTTTATACATAGGATTTCTATGAGCCACAAGCAACTCGAATGCACTAACAATGATGACAAGAAGAAGACAGGAAATCAGGAAAACAATCAGGAAACGAATAAAACAGGGATGAGCAGGAATCAGATCACCTATGTTTGGGTATCAGAATTTACACAACAGGAGAAATGAAGAAACTGAGAAATATAGAATGTTGATGGCATTCAGGGAGTCACCTTGCCATCTGTTCCCACAGACTTATTATGTAAGTGTCAATTACCTTAGCTGCTACAGCAAAGAACTCAGGAAAGGCAAGCTGCTACCCTGCTCAGGAAAGATACTTGTGATTTTAAGACACAATTTGGAGATGTTCTTACTACTATTTGTATTTTCCCAGAAGGAATTTCTTGTGGTTCAGGTAGGTGTTTACCTGTGAATGGAAATAGTGGCAATGTGCATCAACCTAGATCTTTGTAGGAATAAGATTTGGTAATCTAGGAAGTTCAGATGGTCTAGTGGTAAGGAGCTGCACTGCCAACCTAAAGACAAGTGATTTGGATCTATCAGGAGCTCCAGGGAAGAAATATAGGCAGTCTTTTCCATTAAATTGACAGCCTCTGAAAGCCCACTGGAAAGTCAATAGTGAGTTCTTTATCATTCAATGGAAATACGTTGAGGGTTGTAGATCTGATACCAGGAAATCTTTATTGGTCAGATCTATTCTGGCACATGAAGTTGCTGTGAGTAAAAATTAAACAGAGTGCAGCCACACCTTAACAAGAAGAACGAGAAATATTTGTCCTGAGTGGGTAGTCTGAGGTCTTCCCATCATCAGAAACCTGACCATGTCCAGGAGTTGCAGACAATACTTTCAGGCTGTCTATGATTT